TTTTTTTAAAAAATCAGAGAATGAAAAGAAAAAAGAAACCCAAATGAACTTCATAAAAGGAAAACTATACCTAATAAGACAGGTTTCTTTTTACTATTTCTATTACCAGTTCTCTCCAAAGGTAACTACTATTCCTTGAAACTTTGCAAGAAAAAAAGTAATGCCTACATCAGCATACATGTATGTTTAGCTTTAAATTCTTGTTGGAGATCATGCAATGCATCCAATTTATGTTTCTCACTTTTTTTGTAATACCTCATTCATTTTAATAGTACAAACAAATTTTTAAGACAAGCTATTGAAATCTGCACAGCACAAGCCCATTTTGCTTTTTAAATGCTATGTGTATATGTATAAAATTCTGTATATCTAAATAATAAAATCTGAACATCCAGAAAATTTTAACAAGGGTTGCCTCTGGGAGGTGCCAGGTGGCAAGGACAACAACAAATTTACATATTTTTTCTTTGTCTTTTACTTTTTGAGACAGAGTCCCACTACATTGTCCAGGCTGGTATTTTGTTTTGTTTTGTTTTGTTTTGTTACTGGGAATTGAACTCACAGCCTCATGTTTGCCAGACAGGTGCTGTGCAGCTGAGCTATATCCCTGGCCCCAGGCTGGTCTTGAACTTCTGGAGCCTCTAGGGATTATAATACCTCAGCCTCCTGAGTGCTGGGACTACAAGCATGTGCCACTGTGCCCAACTCATTATATATTTAACTGTAAATTAATGCCTAATGTTAAAGTTTTAAATTTTTATCAGGTACATACTTATTGCTTAACAGAAATAAGGGTAAGCTATTTTACCCAGAAAGTAAAAGTCAAAGCACTGTAATTTTCCCATACTTTTTACACAAAATGATCTGTTGATCCTTTTCAGACTTCTCCAAGTTTTAACGTCCATACACAAACGCTTGCTACACGCTTTCATCTGGACCACAGGCATCACTCAACAAGTCCAAGTCATTGCGTTTGCCCCCAAATTGGCTCGTTTTACCTTAATTACTGGTAATTATCTAAATTATTCACCAAAAGGTTCCTATTTCACTGAGTCACCTGGTTATCAAAGGAGAAATTAGAGACCTCTGAGAGGGAGAGCTGGAGATCAAATCTAGAGCCTTGACATGCTTGCTAAACGCACACTGTGCCAAGCAGTAGAACCCCAGTCCCTGGGAGGTATTCTTAAAGCTCCTCTTACCCTCACCCCGAACTTAATTACCAAGCACTGCCAATTTTATTTTCTATTTTTCTAAGCCATCATCTACTCTCCTTTTCTAGTCTTTGTCCTACTCCAGACACTCCTTTCCCTTCTAAGCTGTTACAGTATGTAACCTGTCCCCTAACTTAAGCGCTACTTCTCCAACTCATCACCACTCTGCCAGGGGAATGACCTCCTAAAATGAGAAGTTGACCATGTCACTTTGTGGATCCTTTCTCACCGACCCTCACTCCCTACAAAACAAAAACTAAGCATCTTTAACACGACACATAAAGGCACTACTTCATGTAGACTTTGACCAGGTTTTCACCTTTATCTTTCACTCATTCGTGGTTTATAATTTATCCTTTAGGAATTGTGAACTAACAATGGTTCCTGAAATATGCCAACTTAGTAAGCTCCTCTATTCCTACTGTATTATCTGACTACAAAGCCTTCTTCCCTTCACTATGCCCAAACTTCTATAAATACCACTAGAGTCAGGGTTTCTTAACTTTGGCACACGGACGTTACGATCTAGATGATACTCTTGTTGTAAAAAGCTGTCCTATGCACGACAAGGTATGTACCAGGTTCTCTGGCCTCTCCTTACCAGGAACCACAGCATTCCCAGAAGTTGTTACAACCAAAAATGTCTTTATTCCTGGCCAAATGTTCCCTGGAGAAAATCAACATCAGTTAAGAACCACTCGACTAACTTGTTGAAATTTAGTTTCTCATATATGAGGTATGCTCCAAGAGGGTGAATGTTTACATTTTAAAAACATTACAGTAGAAGACACATTGCCATTAACTTCCCTCAAAATTCTCTTATTTCAAATACATTCACCCCAGCATTCTCCCCACTTTCTGAAGCAATTCTGAAAGTCTTCTTTCTTGAGTGTCTTTAATTGCACCATTGTGGCTATCCCAATGTCCTGAGCAAATTTAAAACATTCACCTTTCATGGTCATTTTGACTTTGGGGAAGATCTGCATGGTACCAGATCTGATAAGATGGATGAGAAAAACACCATAACATTTTTATTTGGCAGAACTTGCCATAATATTTTGAATTGATTCAAGACATCAAAGCAGCAATGACGGAAGAGGGCTAATGTGTTGAATGTGGAGGGGATATTCTGAGGGGGATTAATGACATCTTCTCCTATAATAAATTTTTAAAATTTAAATATTGACTATAGTTTTAATCACACTACTTGTGTTTACTGTATATACAAAATATCTCAGAAAGAATATATAAAGATGTAACATTAATTGTCCTTGAGTTAACAACTGGGTGACTAAGGTGATTAGAACAGAAGGAAAACTGTTCACCTGTCACCACATTTACTTGTAATGATTTTAACCTTGTACCTCTTCCAACCTCTCCACAGCTAATACATGCCTTTGAGTCATTTTTTTCCCGTAACTATTGCAACAGCCTCTAGACAACTTTTCCCTTCCTTCATCCTCTTCCTCAGTCTATTTTTACCAGCAGCCAGAGTAATCCTTTTAAAAGTGAAATCAAATCTCGTCACCCATTTGTGCAAATCCTTCCTGCCTTCCTCATCACTTAAAAAGTCAAAATCTTAAACGGATCTTCATACAAATTCCACCCCTTTCTTTCTCTCTTCTTTGTATTCAGATGTTTCGGAGGTCAAAAATGAACAAACAACGACTTCATAGGATTGAAACTAATACTGTTGCCCTCACTGTGTTTTAACTTTGAACTCCTTTCAGTTCCTCAACCATGCGTGGGTCTTTGAAATTGCTGTTCTTCACTGGGATTAGGGGTTCTAAAACCTGAGCCTGTGTCAGAATCATCTAGAAGGCTTGTTATATCCGTTTCCAAATCAAAAAACCTGAAGTGTGAAATTTGCATTTCTAACAAAGTGATGCTGTGTATTCAAAGACTACATTTTTTAGAACCAAGGTTTTGGAGCCATGCAAGGTGAATGCCAAGTGATAACAGAGACTAGTGCGACAGAGCTGCGGGCAGAGGAAAGTCAATGACTGCCAGTGAGTGACACAGGCAGCTAAAAGACATAGAAGGGATTCTCTCCTAGCACCTGGAGAGCAAGGCCCTACCAGGGTCTTGACTTCAGACACCTACCCTACAGCACTAAGACAACACATTTCCGCTGTTTTACATGGCCCCGTCCGGGCACTTTGGTATCTAGGAAACTAATACAATGACCAAGAAAGCAAGGGCCTCCACCAAGCTGTATATAACTTCAGATTCTATATACTATCCAGCATTTACCAGTTTAAATGTTCCTTTATGTGTAGCTTTCATTGTAATCAGGTTTCCTGTTTCACAATCTCCCCAATATTGCTTCTTCTTGTCCTCAGTGTGCAAGACAGCATGCAGCACCGGGGCTAGGTAATTTACTTCCTTTTTTTTTTTTTTTTTTTTTTGGTTTCTTTCCTCTTCTTGCGGGCCTAAGACCAGCTTCTTTTATTCCTCCCCAATAGACACTTCTTATTTTCATACATTACGGACTATGGCATATATTTTCCCAAGACATTTGAATTAGCTGCAAAATAAAACTTTATGTACACATTCACATTACTCTCTCACCAGGCTTTAAGGTAAAATACTAACTTCGCATTTATGGGACAAATCTCTCTCTTTTGCTTTCATAATTTAAACGCGTGCCAATTTCACTGAGTTTTGGGGATGGGAACTATATCTTTCTTTCATTAGGCATTTTGCTCAAATATCAACAATTTAAAAAAAAAAAAATTTGTATTGGGAAGCTCAAACTTACATGTACTTGAACTGAACTGACTTGAACTGACAATTTTCCAGTTCAGCTTTTATTTATAAAGGTACTGTCCCAAAAATTTCAATCAGTGATATTACTACACAAAGTCAACCCTGGCTTATAAAGTTATGCTGCATAATGCAATTCTTATTTCAGCACAAATCAATATATAAATAATAGCACAGGCCTAGCAGAACACTTTTATATATCTATGGTCAGGTAAACATTACATACTTATTACATACCCTCCTAAGTAAATTTGTGACAAATTTCTAGAATTTGGAGATATTGTATTCATAACCTAAAAAAACCTGAAAACAATCTCTAACTGGCCAGCGACCACCGAATATTTTTTGAATAGTGAACCCTAAATAAAAAGATATAGAAAAACAAATTCCAGGCAAATTTGAAAGAGACATTTAAGAGGTCTCCACGAGTACTAAATTTAAAAAAAATCATTCTTTTCCTACAAAGAATTTTAAATGAGTCATTCTTTCCTTACTAAATCACTGCTTTGCTTAACATATGGTGAAAAGAGTTAACTGTTTGATAACTTAAAAGCTTTATACTCACTTAAAGTGTATGTCAATATACATTAAGGCTGGCAGAAAATAAAACAAGGACAGTTTATTACACACAAAAACAGAAGATCACGCGCCTAAGGCTCATCTGTCATTTATCTGAGATGGGAGCGCTACGCTGTCATCCAAATACCTTCTGAAACCTGAAGACTCCGGCTCCCAAACTTACACCAGAATGAAACCACCCGAATCACGCGCTTTCTTCTGGTATCCAGGAAGAGCTCTCTGTTCTTCTCCTAACTTCTAGTAAATCAACAATATCTGGCCATTACACATGACCTAATTCACTCTGAAACATTAAAAGTTCTGACTTTATATCCAACTTTCAAATCCACAGTGAAATCAATTCATAACTAACGTCAGAGTTTTCCACCCTCACAGCGGCGAAAGAAGATACCGCGACCCCCCGCCCCGCCTCAACGACTTGAGGAATTTCAGTTTTTCCAAAACCTGTGGTTTCTGTTGCTGATGTTGTTTAAACAGGGAGGCGGCAGGCGTTCAGGGCTGCAAGGCGGTCCGTCCCCAGCCCTCCACCTCGGTCATCTTGAAGAGCACACAGCTCGTCTGCACGGCAGGCAGGGCGGACGACGGTGCCAGCGCTCCGAGCGATCGCACGCGCCGCGCCAGGGCCAGCGGGCGGGCAGCGGCCCCGAAGCACACCTGCCCCGTCGTCCGG